CCCCAAAACCCCAAAACCCCAAAACCCCAGCTTATTCAAACCCCGGAATATATTAAAAGCCGCCAGGTGCCAAATATGGAAGAAGCAGGATTTAAGCCAAAGAAGTAAAATAAGAAATTTAGCCAAAATTTAACCTCCATCAATTATGTTAACTCCTCCAAGCTGGTCTTCTTCAAAGACTTGTTCAACTTTGTTTTGGGTTAGGCCGCAGCAACGGACATATGCTTTTTCAAAACTCAATTTTAAATCTGGAGAGCTTGCTAAACCTTGTACCAAGTTCTTAAACTCGTCGAAGTTGTTCTCCCAATCACTTCTAACCGAGTTTCCTGATCCTTCTAAATCTATTTCCTGGATTTGGCAATTCTTCAGAGCCTTTGACAAATCAGGAACACTTGGGATAGATAGCCTGCACCATTTCAATCCCAAAATTCTCACATATCTGAAAGCTGCCACCAGCCTCTTGAGTTGGGGGAGGACAATGCTGAAATATTCAAAGTCAACTTGTCGAACGACTTTGAAGGTGTGTCTGGTCAGGGAGTTTAAGTAGTTGCACCTTTTCAAATCCATTTGACCACTGCACCAAAAAGCGAGATTCTTATTTTTATTTGGGAATGAGGATTGTAAGAAATTTAAAACAAAACGCCTATTTTTAGAAGCAATCCCACCCAACTCAAGGTAGTCTATATCAAAAACCTTAAGACACTTCAAACTTTTCAAAAGTCTTTCTTCTCTGATGTCATCCAACCAAATGCTAAGTCTACTGTTTTCTGAAACTTCTTCGGAGTCTGGATCCGATGGCTCAACTTCTTCATCTGGGCGAACCTTATAGAGGATGCTCTGGCATGTGATGACCTCTTGCTCCTTGGCTTCTGCCAGGACAGATTTCTCTAGGCTGCACAATTAGAGGAGGACGGGGAGGTAGATCAGTGTTAGGACCCGTCAGAAAGTTGGAAATGAAAGGGTGCTAATTTAGATTTTGAGAAATCCCAGGTCTAAGTCTTTAGGAAAAATGTTATCTGTAGAGGTCCCAAATGAATCTTAGAGAGGCAAGGCTTATAAACTCTCTCTAGTTTTGCTATGAACTTCTCGGTCAAGAAATTTTCGGAGAGATTATTATAAAAGTTGGCAAATGTTGGTTAAACTTTAAAGTTTTGGGACTTGTTACAAATTTGGGAGTGAAAATTTAAAGTATTCTAAAACTAAGCTCTCAGTTACCGGATTATCTGGGTGTTCTCTTCTTCAGTAGCTTTAGTAATACTTTCCATTTTATTATTATAAAAACTTAATTTAAAATTTTATTTTTCAATATGTCTGCAGAGGAGTGGGGTTTTGGGGTTTTGGGGTTTTGGGGTTTTGGGGTTTTGGGG